TCGATACATGACAGGGCCATACATGTACAGTACACATTGTACTGTACATGTATGGCCAGGCTTCGGAACCCCCATCGGCTGGAAACCTTTCGTTATGGGTCATTTCCTGGCCTGAGATAGCGTCCGTGCTGACGGCCCCGGAGCTAATTCTCTCAGAAATAGCTCTCATGAGAATTAAAGAGCTAATCTTCTGAGAGAATAAGCTCCGCTATCAGCAACAGCGACGCTCATTTCGCTCGCGCGCTGCGATGGTGAGCGGTCCAAGTCATGAACGTCAATGAAGCCGAGCTGAAGACCGACAGTGTTTAGACGGCGGCGTCTTTGAAATGCAAATTGGGAACAGTTGGACCCTTCGGCAGTCATAGGCGACGGGAGCCAATAATTTATTTCTATCTCAGGGTATTATATTGTGTGGTTCACAGCCAGATGTACCCTCTAAATGGTACATTTACAGAAGCCAGCCATACTAATTTTTCTGTCTCGTGTCAAAGAACCGAAATCAGTAGATAACAGTCTCAAAAAGTGTGTCTTAGCGTATGGTGCTTAATTTCGCATAAATCTAATTTTATGCGAATTCCATGCCTTATTCCGGAAAACATGATTCTTGGAAAAGCACATGCTTTTTTTTCGCATGTACCCTGCTGCTTTTTATATTTTTGCATCTCCCGTTACTTCTGGGATAAGTACGATCCTATGAAAAACAGTTGGCTACATTTGTGGCCCAAAAATTTAATTATGGAGGCTTCTACCCAAGAGTCGGTCTATTTCAACGACACCTGGGTTCTGCCTATACACTATCAGGTACTTTACAAGTGCGAATAAAGCAGCTAGACACTTCATATTCCTCACTTTCCAACTTGCCATCAATCGGCCAAGGGGGTGACGGGCCGAAGTACTGTGAACGTCACACGCATACCCCTGTAGTGCATTGTGGAGTTTAAGACGGCGCGTGGTGTGGTATTAGTGGGCAACTGGCATTAAGCGACTTCCGTGGTTTTTACCGCTTTGAAGTTGCTGCCTAATCCTTTCTAGCTGCACGGAGCCTGATTACATCCATTTTGACGACAAGTTGGAAAGTCAAACGTAGAGGTATAGCAAACAGTAATCTATTTAATGTCTTAAGTCTTAGGAAGCTAGGAGCAAGCAGAATAAGACCGGGAAAAGGTGCCTTACAAAGCATGATTTAGGGAGTCGTCCGATTCGTATTGGGTCTCGCGCTGAGATGTGGATAGGCGAGAGCGAACGCTATATGGTCCAGGGCGCGAGCGCTGCTGTTGCCGAGCCTGATATAGACGCTGGGCTCTAGCACGCTGGGTGCGAACACGCTCGCCCATTGACTGATACTTGGACAACACCATATCGTAGTGCTCGCTGTCGTGAGCTCGTAGAGGCATCAAACCTACATGGAAGTTGGTCAACGCCACACATAGCCGAGCAACACCATCAAAACGGTTCTCGTTCCACCTAAAGGTCGCATAGGTAGCTTTCCACAGCATACACATCCGGCCAAAATAATTCTCAACCAGGACGCGATCTGAAGAAATTGCACGGTTGCGGGAAATATCGTCGCGTCAAGAGTGCCTCCACGCGATTGTTTTCTTTGCCTGGATTCGTTCGAAGCACCCGCCCTGCACCCTTGGTAAACCCGTGTCTACTAGCACGGCCCACATATGTGGAAACTGCGTTGGGTCAGCTCCCATTTCAGCAGTTGTCCCGTCCTCCTTGCGCAGCATCTGACGATGAATCGTGAGCCTGTCGAGCATCATCGTCAGATCCGACGTTGATCCAGGAGAATGATCTGAAACATCAACAGCGACACCTGGTGGTGTCACAGAGCACTCAATCTTGAACCCATAGAGCTTGTGCTTACCGGAGAAGTAAACCTTCTGTTCTGCAAAGCGACCGCTAGGCCGATATGCTGGCTGGAACTTGACGTCAGTAGCGTAGAGAGCATGTGGATAGTTTGTAAAGGTGTTTCCAGCTTCCATCTGCTCGGACATCCTTACGCGCTTGACCATCTGGGAGTACAGCACGGGCTCAATTGTCTGAATGACACGGTGAACCATTTTCTCCAGCGTAGAAATCCCGATGTTGAAATCGATCGCGTGCTTCTGCCATGTGTCAAAATGCTTCAACACGGTCAGGGTAATGAACATTGCGTCTTTCCCCGACACAGACGGTTTACGCCCACGACCTTGCGTCCATGTAATCGTCACCGCAGATTCCACAAGAGCCCACAGCGCATCCAGCTCGGGCGCAGAGAAGTTGGTCATGCCCTTTAGCGCACTATCACCACCTGCCGCAATATACTCAGACAGAATAGGTGAGCCAGAATCGGAGGCTTCTTCCTCTATATGGCGAGCGACATCGCCATAGT